ATAGAAATTGTTTCCAGAAAATGGCTGGCCCCCACACTAAGAGGACTGCAGGGTAAACAGGCTAGTCAGAAAGCTTTGCAATTGTCCAGGGGTATTAAAAATAAAGAAAAACCATGGCCAAGGAGGTGGGGTATTTTGACTCATAATCTGGCTCACAGTGTCATGGGTGAGGTCTGCAGGATCCAGGGACATCTTGGCCACCCCTCTGGTGGAGTCCTTCCCGGTCAAGGCATTGTAGGGGGCTCCTCGCCCATAAAACTCTATAGTGGAGAGGAAGGACGAGGACATGAGTGTGGATGGGTGTGTGTGCAGAACCCCAGGAACCTGCGCCCTCCAGGCCCAGGGACAAGCAAAGTAACGAAGACACAAGATCCAGTAATCCACCCCTGGCCATCAGGTTCAATTCCACTAGTTCAAAATACGGCATAAGTCATGCAGGTGGGCTTAGAAATAACAGAATAGTCCCTTCAAAATAAGAAAAACGCCTTCTCTTCTTACATGCTGATGGAGGCCATGGCTATTTCCATCCTGCGGTGTTTGGTACCCCATCAAAGGTGGACCATCACAACATCTCCTCCACAACATAGTTACAATTAGGAAAACCACTCAACAGCGACAGTGTATCCTAGAATGTTCTAGGATGCCAATGCTTTGCTCAGGAACACTTCTCTCACCGCTTCATTTAGGGTAAGCTGTCAAGTTTGAATTTGACTCTATAGACAATGGGGAGCCATGGGAGGCTTTTGAGTAGGAGCATAGCATTATTAGGGGAAAAAAACGTGGGAGCAAAATCCTGACACAGGGGACCAGCAGATGGCGTAATGGCTACATCACTAGACTCCCGCGTAATCAACCATGGTTTGAGTCCCGGACCTGTCGACTAAAGCTCACACCAGGCACGTGTGCAGGCGTGCCCAAGATCCCAAGAGAATAGAGATGAAGGGATTGCGGTGTGGCCTTCCCCGCAGGGGGCGACTTCTTGCTTTCTCTCTTTCCAGCTAGCTCACATGCCCTATAGCAAAAAAATCTCTAAAAAAAAAAATCCTGACACAGATGAATTCAGTCTGGTTACTTAAGTGGAAAGAAAAGGACACACCTAACATTCCCTCCCTCTCCTCACACTTCCAAGTGCCCAGTGTGGCCTCCAGAAATACAGAGCCACAAGCCAAGCCACTTACCCTTTCCGGAAGTGACGTCAAACACCACTCCTTTCACTGCCAGGTAGATGGGCTGATCTTCCTAGAAAGCAGGAGAGAAGCTGTGAGAAGGGGCAGGAGCCGGGCTCTTCCGGTGCAAGTCAGTAAATCTGCTCCCCTCGGGCGCTGTGCAGAGAGCTGGGCTAAAGTCCCAAAGCAGCCTTCTGTCCAACTGGTCCTCGACAGGCTGGCCACCTACCTGGCCACCACTCACAAAAACCTTAAGCACTTTGGACATTCTCATCTCATTTAATCCTTTCAAGATGCCCACACAAAGCCAGAACTCTCACTGTAAGCCCTGATGGCCGGCTTCGGTGTGCACGTGGCTAGGCTGCTGGGCCGTTGCTCGGACTGCACTCCTGTAGGGGTCATCCTCAAGGTATTTTGTAGCTGTGGTTAACATCTACAACAGAGACCACTGCGCAGCGTCTGGGTGGGTCTGATTTTCCAGCTGGAAGGCCTTAACAAGAGGATCCAGGCGGAAGAAATGCCACCTGCGGGCTCAGGCTTCTGCTCCTTCGGCAGGGTTTCGAGCCTGTCCTTTCTACACCCTGCCCTCCAGACTCCAGCCTTGCCTAGCCAGCTCCCACAATAGCTCAAGCCAGTTCCCCGCAGCGGCCATACCTGTATCTTTCTACAGATATACAGATAGCCTCCTGGTTCTGTTCCCTGGTGGAACCCTGACAGATGCAAATTTTTTTTCTTTTCCAATTATCTTACTGATAAAAAAAAATAAAATTCTGGGCTCCAAGCCCGCCAGCCATGCTCTCAGGTGCCAGCGACACCCCTGCCACTGTCACTATGGCCCATGACAAAGCCACCAACTTGAAGCGTGAGCAGTCCCAGAGGGACTTGGAGAAGCTGGGTGCTGGACACAGTGACCGAGGTGTCCGTAACCTTATATGAAGAACCAGAGAACCCTAATAGCGCTTCTGATTTCTTAAAGCATCGCTTAGGGGCTGCTGCTCCAGAACATCCAGAAATAGAGCTGCTTCGCCTAGAATCGGCAGAAATGAAAGAAATATGAAGCCATTGTAGACGAAAATAAAAAGCTGAAAGCGAAGCTTGCTCAGTCCGAACAACCTCAGGAGGAGAAGCGTGCTGCACAGGATCCTTCTCAGTTGAAAAGACACTGAAAAATGGTTTTGTATGACTTGAGTGGTTTGGATAGCATATCATCTTTTCTGAACAGACGCTATAGACCTCTTTTAATGTTAAATTCACCTATCACACTTCAACTGTTACAAAAACATATACTTAGAATCACCAATAAAAACTGAATGTAATGTTCTTTGGGTCTTAAAGCAAAAGAATCCAAAGTAAATCTTGGGGGAAAAAAAATCCCCCTCCAAAAAAACTGAAATTCTGAGAGGTTTAGTAGTTTGCCCTAAATCACACAGCAGGACAGGGACTCGGATCCGGGTATAATCTAAAGGTACGATGCGCTAACTAGGGTGACCATATAACGTATCACGTCAACCATTATGCCTTTTTTTTTTTTTTTTTTGTCACAAGAC